TTAATCTCATCTTCACGTAGAATTCTATCAAATTTGTCCGAAAAATAACGATTTGTCCCCATCCTGAATTTATCATTCCTTTTCATAAGCAGATTTCGGATTTCTGCAAGATTCTTGTTAGACGTAAATAATGTAAATGATGATGATTCTTTATTGTTGACTTTGACAGTTATCCTAAATTCTTGATCATCTGGTTCATTATTACCGGTAAAAAAAAAACTTCCATAACATTTTACCTACTGTATCTATATCTTTGACTATGTAAGTGGAAAGTTGTGTACGTATTTACTGTTTATTTAATTTATAACTAATTTTGGAGCACGAATGTATTAATAATTCTTAATGAATTGATATGATATTAAAAGCTTCAACCCTTTTATAATGACTTTTATTCTTGGTTATGTTTTGATACTTCAAACCTTATTGTTAAATATGGAAATTTATATAGCTATACGTTATAGTTACAAGGGAAAATATACACGAATTACATAAGATATTTTAAATGCACTGTGAAGGCTTTAAAGCAGTGCTATAAATTTAATTTAATGACTTACGTTTACAAATGCACGTGTACTTGTTATAAAAATAGTTTATTCTATATGTGCGTATTTACTACAGAAATAATTCATTCCTGCCTAATTATTAAAAGCATTTTATTTGCATTATCATCAGAGCACAAACCTTATTGTAAAATGCCGGAGTTTTCCGTCTACGTAAGATAATTTCCGCCCAGTTTTTCAACAGACGGAAAATTTCTGTCATTTATAATAATGGCTTCCGACTATGGTTTCTAAGTTCCGGTCAGGTATTACGAAATTTTTCGTAATAAATTTTTATTACATTTTTCTTGCGTAATATGTTTATTAGTAATTGGAGTGTTAATAGAACTATATAAAGGGTCATTGATCGATAGTTCTCTTTGGAAACATAAAGACACTTTTATTTTTCTCTCTACCCTTGCTTGAATAATAATAAATAGCGTACATATAAAACCTATAATTATCGTTAAATACCCAAAATTTATGTTAG